TCCCCTCCCCTCATCTTAGTACCCCGCTAAACTCTTATCTGTTAAATCTCCAGACTTCTCTGAGCTATTTTCCTGCAATACCTTTGCCAAATGGAAATAATGCAATTAATGATGTATTTACCCTATAGCAGACAAATGGCGAAATCTTTAAACACAGTCTCAAAATGTGCAGAGAATTTGCACGTGGTCTGACTTTGGTTTTCATTGAGGCAAGTCTGAGAGACGACATGTAGATAGATAGATAGATAGTTTATTACCAAATAAAATACATTGCAGCCATAGGCTGAATTGCCTGCTTTTCACAATCATTGATTATATAAGACTATATAAGACTACCTATTACAAAAATGCTAAGACCTAAATAAAATTACTAATATAACTAATATAGCTAATATACAGCAGTGGAATAGCTAAAAATCTAGGTTAGCACACGCGCACATAGCCGGGATAAATGAAAATTTAAAACGGTCAGTGCGAAAGCGCGGCATGTTAAAAACGCGCTGGTGTCTAGTATTGTAAGCTGAAAAATGCCTATCTGGCAGCAAATTATATAATTTGCGAGATGGATTTGAGACAGACAAAAACAGATCCGTAAATAATTTCATGCGTCTGTCATTAGAGCGAAGCTAAACCTTGCCTGTCTAAAGAGTCATGGTATGACAGTTCTGGTGAAATGATGGATAATGTGCGTCTTTGGATCCTTTCAATGGTATCACTAAGATACGCAGGTAACGCATGATGGAATATTTGTGCGCAGTATTCCAGAACAGGACGTATAGTTGTACAATAAAAATTAATTATTTCATCCGCTGGAACGCAGGCTCTCTTTAGGAGGACTAAAAAGTATAATCGTTTGTTTGCTCTTTTTATAACATTATTGACGTGGTTATTCCACTTAAGGTTACACGAAATAGTCATGCCTAGGACCCTAGCTCTCTCTACCGTCTCTAATACTTTGCCATCGACCAAGAGTTTCTGCCTTTTGTAGTCGATGTGGGTGAATGGCAGATCTGTTTTACCAAATGCAATCGGTGAGAACCAAAAAAGTAGGTCTATCAATAATATTCTTACAATTAAAACTACAGAAATAATGGCACCTACATGTATGCTACAATCAAAATAGTCAACACCTTGGAATAGCATCACAATCCTTAACCCTTTAATCCTAAGGGGTGACTTTCATCTAATTTCTCACTACAGAACTTTATCTAAATCCCACACTATGGTCACAAGAAGAGGAAACATTGCACGAAAATTACAAGTAGAAAAGAAAGTTTCTTGCCTTGTCTTGACCTGTCAATATAATATTAATGTGGTTTACTAAACAAGTGTCTTGTATACTTTTCAACAGCTAATTTTGAGATCCCCCCTGCTGTGGAGCAGGATCATCAAGTTGTCATTTCAGAACATGAAAGTGGTAGTGTTCTGGACATAAATGAGGTATGATGGCAGAAAATTGCATGTTAATAGTTGCATGTCAGGGCTAAATCAAACATCAAAAATCAAATGTGTCCTTGTCTTGGACACTTTTTTTATGGACTTATTGAATGAATGAGCAAGGATCTTACTCACTCACCCAGAAACTCAACGCAGAAAACTGGACAGATATTTCTATATGTCCCATTCTGAATTTGCTGTGCCATCATCAACCATAACATGATAGAAATCATGAGCTAATCATGTAATTGCTAAATGATAGCCAAGGTTAATCTTCAGACATAGACTGTACGTTGAGTGGAGACTCTACATTAAAACTGGGGGGTATTACACCTTAACATCAGTATGCATATTCTCCATACTATTCTCGATGCATCCAAAGGTGCTTACAAGGAGAATTTGTTTAATGATCAAGAGCATCTTGACATTGTTATCATTGCTTTATTCCTATGACCTTACTTTTTCATTCAGGGGGGATAATGTGAGGAGAAATTAGATGCCTCTCACTCTTAGGAGTTGAGAGTTGACAGGGGGTCCTAGTGACTTTGGAATGCTCATATTATATGCTAACATTATACTTCAGTCACATCCAGTGGTTTAGATGTAGGAATTTTTAAAGAAGAGCCTAGGGGGAGGGGGTGGGGAAAGTGTAAACAACTGTGCTCTATTTGAATTTAGGATTATTATTCCAGATTATCATAATGCATATTACAAATATATTACAAATTATTTATTTTTGAATATCACAGACAGAGTACTTTACTGAAAAGGAATGTTCTGGGTGATATGACATGCACATTGACAACTCGGTCAAAGTCTGATTGAAAAAACCTTCTGAGTAAAAGCTAACCCCTTTAACTCTCAAGTTCTGATTGTTAACTCTCCAGTCTAGCTGCTACACATTTTTTTGTAAATCAGTTATGAGAATTTGGTGTGAAATTAAGATGAAAACTTCTACCTGATAGGTTTGAGTCTTCTAGTTACCTTATCAACATAATAATAATAATAATTTACCAATTTATATAGCATGTATTAACATGTGCTGATCAATAGCGCTTTACAATCATATGTTTAAAAGAAAACGAAAATACATTACCATGAGAATAAAATAAACTAAGTTACAAACTATAAAAAATACTTCTTAAAAAGATAGGTTTTAAGTCGAGATTTAAAACTGTTAACTGATGTTGCTTGACGAAGCTCCACAGGTAGCTCATTCCAGAGTTTCAGAGCTGCTGCTGAGAATGATCTTGCTCCCAATGCTGTAAGCATCTTTCCCTTGGGATGGTCCAATGATAGGAACATGATAGAAAGAAGTTGCATACTGGTCATTTCTGGGAGTTAAAGGGTTAACAATGACCTCCAATGAGGCCTCAAATATGCCTTCCCATTTTAAGTGCAAGATGGGCTTTTTTCAGCTACAAAACATTACATGATGGTACTCACGCTACAATCAAAGTAGTCAACACACAGGAATAGCATCACAAACTTAACCCTTTAACGCCAAGGAGTGACTCACATCTAATTTCTCACTACAAAATCACACACCAATGTCACAGGTGAAAGAAACATTACTCTTGTCCTAAATGACAAATAAGTAGAAAAGAAAGTTTCTTGCCCTGTCTGGACCAGTCAATATAATATTAGTCTGGTTTACTTTAAACAATTGTCTCGTTTATTACTATGCTTTTCAACAGCTTCTTTTGAGATCCACACTGTCATGGCGCTTGACAAAAATGAGAAACTTTGTCAAGTTCTCATTTTAGAGTGTAAAGGGCCAGGGGAGAACAGCTGGTGTTACTTAGGTTATGAAAATGTTACTTCTCCCCACATTTTCAATCTATTTTCTGGCAAACAGGTTATGAGAATTTTTTAAGTCATCAGTGGTTTCCTCTTCAAATGACCTAACATTAAATTATTATACCTGTTAAATGTCTTAATGTCATTGAATGGAACTGCTTCACCCTTTAACCCCCAAGAGTGATTAGCATCTAATTTCTCCTCACAGCATCACTGCTGATTCAAAAGCTCAAGTCAGGAGATTAAAGGAAATGATCACCACCTTAAGAAGATCATGATTATGAGACATTCTCCTTGTCAGTACCATAGGAAATGTATAGGAACAGTTGGGAGAATATGGAAATGAGAGTTAGGGACTCACAGGTTAATGATTATTTTTCAGGAACTAAATAGAACAAGCAAAGAGAACGACCAAAGAGAACAACAAAGACATCACAGAGTGTTGTTACAGAAGAATTTACGAAGAGAGTTGAGGAGGTCATCAAAAAAACACAACCAGGCTCAGAAGAAGAAATATTTTTAGTGTTTTCCAAATCTAGCAGGATTCAATGTTCACACTCTAAGACTACTGAGTAATGTTCTTATTTAAGTGAGATTACATCAAAGTTGTTCTTTGAAGGAGGTTTTTGGAAGCCTACAACTTTGATTAATATTGTTACTTTAATTGAAACCAAGATTGTAACATAGCTACATTGAATGAGTAAAGAGCTGTAATTGAAATATTTCAAGTTGTAGCCCAAGCATCCAATTTGACTCATAATTTCCCTTTCCCATTCCATTCAATTGTAAAACACTCGTTTTAAAATAATTCCTATTTCCTAACAATTTTGTGAGGCAATTTGAAGAGATTCTTTTGCCCTTTATTTTGAGTATATTTATTATTTACAGTTTACTGTCCTGACTTTTCAATCCTTGAATTTTATTTTGATGCTATAGTTTCCTTGGTAAATTTGTTTAGTTTCAGATCACAAAAATAGAGAGGATGTCATGATGGATACTTTTTTTCATGTCAGGCTCAGTGAAGGATGCAAGTCAGAAGATAAATTATTTTTAGGAACAGTAAAATTATGACTTGTTTATTGTTTTCTCCTGCAATAATAGGTACAGTGAAAGCCAAAAAAACAAGGATTCAAGAATGCTGCTTTTAGGAGTGCTTGTTTGAAATTCATTTCAATCTGCAGGAGTTTCAATAAATGTCAGAAAATGGTATTCATCTGCCACCTATAAGAGGTCTTACTACTTTCTGTTTAGCCTGAGAATAGTTTCTCATACGGGATTTGCCTTACAGCCCTTTCCAGGCAAAGCCACCTATTGTAACATCAGCTGCCTCCTATGGACAAAGATGTTGAAACCTCTGAATCTCTTTGATTTTGAACCTCTCCTCCCACTGAAGATGAGTCAATTTAAAACAGTTGTTAAAGTTATACTTCTTTTTAACAAAATTAAGTGCATTTTGAGTGATGAACTCTTGCAATAAAATGCCTTATTTAAAAATCTGCAAAATCTCTTTTGTTGTGTCATTTATGAGGGAATTTCTTTGAGATGATATGCCCTGTTCCGTTGGGTAGGAAGATATTAGAAATAGAAATGTGGGGGTTTGCCAAATAATTGTCTTTTAGGATTGGAAATGATTTTACACATTTTTTCCCGGTTAGTAAGGTTTCCTCACTACCCCTCTGCATGGGATGTTTATAACAACTTCTTTTAAAGTTCTTATTAGCATTTTTCGGATCAATATCAGTATCAGTATTTTTCACTTTGGTGACCAAATCTTGAAAATTAGTCGCCAAATTGGCGACTAGAATGTTTCATTGTAACCTTACCTAGAGATTTAATAAATAAAAAGATAAATCCGCGGCAAACTTCCTCGTTAAGTTTGTTTCCAAAACGCAGCACATGCATCTCGATCGATAACTAGTTGTCATTTTAGATTTAGGCGAGCTTGAACGTTGCATATCATCCATCCTAGTGTCCACTTTGTAGTACGTTAAAGAACTTGGCAAAATTTATGCACAGCCCCAACTTCATTATGCATCCATATATTGGGGCTTTATTATTCGGTGTATCACCAATAAGATGTGCATGCATAATTAAGTATAGGGCCGTGTTAAAATTTTTCCAACAACCTTTTTTGAATTGGCTGCCACTTTGAAGAATTTAGGAGCCAAGTGGCTATCAGAAAAAAAAATTCACGCCCTGGTATAGCTGTGTGAAATCGAAGTAGTGAATAGTTCAAATGTTGAGGTGCTTTGACACACATTGCGTGCCTACTTTAGATGCTCATACCCAGGCCTCACGTTACCCGTATGATTTTTCCAAAACAGTCAAAACACTGCGAGGCGCCATTTTTGGGCGAATTGAACAGGAAAAAAAGCCATGTGTCAAGCACTTTTCGTCCTTACAGAAATGTAACGGTGTAGAGAGATCACGAGGTACGCTTCCTATGTAGTTAGCCAAAGATTAATTTTAAGTAGGCCACGTGTTGTACAAACTAAATTCTTTGCATCTCAATCCCATCCGGAGTAAAATTGATGGCCACTTGTTTCCAATTCATAATTATTATTTTGCGATGCAATTGTGTTTTATTAAAGCAGTTTTTCCCATCGCAAATGCTGATTGCCGAGTAAGAAATAGACGTAACGTGGACAAAATGCAAACTGAACCAATGCTATGCGAATATATAGACATTAAAACAGCTGCATCTTTACAAATGTCGCACAATCGTACCTAAGCTAGTATTTACCTTATTAAATTATTCATTACTTGCGTAATTAACCCTTTCACTCCTAAGATCTCATTAAGTACTTCTCCTTATTGTCTGTCTGCCCTACAATGTTTAATTCGATTGATGACAATATAAAACAAATCACAAATTAATTTTCAAAGAAATATTTATTTAAGATTGTTAGCAACATGTTCACAACCATTTTGCTTCATGCAGATCTTAAAGAAACTGAAAAGAGATTTTTTCTATTTTTAAAATAGTCCCATTACCTTTTACTTGGGAAAATCAGTAGAAAAATGAAATATCTCCTAGAAATGCTAGTGAAATATTATGAAACTTTTAAGAGGATATGACACGTATCAAATTCATTATGAATCTAAATTCACCATCAGCTTAAATGCAGTACTTTTCTTAAAAATTCATCTGTAATTAAGCGTTTTGAAATAACTTGAGCATTAAAGTGATATTCATTATGAAAAAAAATTTAGCAAAACTGTGGATTTAATTCCTATTTTATGAAAATATTTTTCCAACATGTATAAAATTACATTTTGATTGCTATTTCATCCTAAAACAGACAGTAAACAAATGTCTTATCATGCTAAACTTCATGAACTTTGTTGTCAAACTTACTGCATATGACATCTTAGCTAAACCTAAGTGAAAAATTTTTCTTACCAGAATTTATTGTTTGGAAAATATCTTTTACTTCAACTGTAAACTAGAACTTTAATTTTGCAGTTGCAAGAGATTTTACACTACAGAAAACAGACTTTCCTGCTGCTTGGGTTGTACTTGGGAGGTGTTCATTGGATTTCCTTCCTGATCAAAGCCAAGGATGCGTTGCTTATCTTTGAGGTAGGACTTGAAGTAATACAGCTCACTGCCAGGTTCCTTAGCCACTTTGTAAAACAACACCTCAGGACTGTCTCTTTTAACTTCTTTAAGGGTGTCACTTTGGCTTGGAGGTTTAGGAAGTTCCTGTTGAAAAGAGCAGTCAGACTCTGAGTAAGAGTAGCTGGGGAAATGACTGCTGTTGGTGACAGTGGCTGATGTTGTGACAGCCTCATTGGAGATCATTGTTCACCCTTTAAGTCTCAGAAGTGATCAATGTGCAACTTCTCCCAATCATGTTCATACACTATCCAGTAAACAGATAATGAGAAGACTCAAACATATCAGGTAGAAGTTGTCATCACACCAAATTCTCATAAATGATTTACAAGAAAACGTGTAGCAGCTAGATAGGAGAGTTAACAATCAGATCTTGAGAGTTAAAGGGGTTAGCTTTTGCACAGAAGGTCATCTCAGACTTTGACTGAGTTGTCAATGTGCATGTCATATCACCCAGAACATTCCTTTTCAATAAAGTACTCTGTCTGTGGTATTCAAAAATAAATAATTTGTAATATGCCATAAAACAATCAGGCATATTAATGCTAAATTCAAATAAAGCACAGTTGTTTGCACTCTCCCCACCCCCTCCCCCTGCCCTCTTCCTTAAAAATTCCTACATCTAAACACCTGGATGTGATTGAAGTATAATATTAGCATTCCAAAGTCACCAGGACCCCTTGTTAACTCTCAACTCCTAAGAGTGATGAGCATGTAATTTTTCATTACAATATCACCCCTGAATGAAGAAGTAAGGTCATATGAATAAAGGAATGATAACAATGTCAAGATGCTCTTGATCATTAAACAAATTCTCCTTGTAAGCACCTTTTGAAATGTATAGAGAACAGTATGGAGAATATGCATACAGATGTTGGGGCGTAAAGGGTTAATATCCCCTGGTTTTTTAAGGGCATGAAATTATTTTTTTTTCTGATAGCCACTTGGCTCCTAAATTTTTCAAAGTGGTAGCCAATTCAAAAAACGTTGGTCGCTGTTTTTAAAAACAAACAAAACCTTTTTTTTTACGCTGTCAGTGTTCTAGATAGACACTCCAAAATTAAGTAAGAAAAAACATCTTCAACACGTTACGAAGTGGACACTAGGATGGATGATATACAACGTTCAAGCTCACCAAAAATCCAAGGTGACGTCTAGTTATCGATCGAGATGCATGTGCTTCGTTTTGGAAACAAACTTAACGAGGAAGTTTGCCGCGGATTTATCTTTGCAAGTCTTTTAATTCTCTATATATCTAGGCAAGGTTATGATAAAGCGTTCTAGTCGCCAATTTGGCGACTAATTTTCAGGATTTGGTCGCCAGGGTGAAAAATCTAATCGCATTGGCGCCTGTATTAGGCGCAATTTCACGCCCTGTTTTCATGTAGAGTCTCCACTAAGCAGACAGTCTCTGTCTAAAGATTATCCTCGGCTATCGTAAGCAATTATATTGTGAGCTCAAGATTTCTATCACATTATGGTTGATGATGGTACAGTAACTTCAGAATGGGACATATAGAAATATCTGTCCAGTTTTTTTCGTTGAGTTTCTGGGTGAGTGAGTAAGATTCTAGCTCATTCAATAAGTCCATTAAAAAATGTCCAAGACAAGGACACATTTGATTTTTGATTTAGCCCTGACATGCAACTATTAACAAGCAATTTTCTGCCATCATACCTTAGCAATGACATTGTCATCATCCTGGTTTATGGCCACAACACTTCCACTTTTATGCTCTAAAATGACAACTTGATGAGGTTTGTTGTTTTCGTCAAGCTCCACGACAGTGTGGATCTTAAAATAAGCTGTCGAAAAGCATAGTGATAAACAAGACACTTGTTTAGTAAACCAAACTAACGTTATATTGACTGGTCCAGACAAGGCAAGAAACTTTCTATTCTACTTACTTGTCTTTTTGGAAAAGAGTAATTTTTCTTTTACCTGTAACTGTAGTGTGTGATTCAGGTGTGATTTCGTTGTGAGAAATTAAATGAAAGTCACCCCTTAGGCACAAAGGATCAAAGATTGTGATGCTATTCCAAGGTGTCGACTATTTTGATTGTAGCGTAGGTCCCATTATTTCCGTATTTTTGATTGTAAGAATATTTATTGATAGACTTACTTTTATTGTTCTCGCTGATTGCATTTGATAAAACAGATTTGCCATTCACCCACATGTAGTGACCTGGAGCCTCTCCTTCTTCGTTGCGAGAGTAAAGCTGATGATCTGCAGTGCTCCATTCTCTGTCACTGTGGTCAATGACTTTCACATTTTTCTTCTATGGGGTAAATACATCATTAACTGCATACATTTGGCAAAGGTATTGCAGGAAAATAGCTTAGGGACAACTGTAGATTTAACAGATAAGAGTTTAGAGGGGTATTTAGATGAGGGAAGGGGAGGGGGGGGGAGATTTGGATTGGTGTTTAGAAGCCTAGTGACCCATCTGGGTTGGGCTCATCCCCTTCCTTCCCCCTCGATGGTAAGCTAGTCTTTCGTAGATTCCACCCCGCCCCTACTCTGCTTTCTAAGTATGTGGTGGGATGGTCTCCACAGCAAGAGGCACGCTGAGCAAATTTTGTCCGTCAGGCCATGCCATGAGGTAGAGTAGTGCCGATATACGACAACTATAAAATACTGTTTTCGGATTTGAACTTCCAGTTTTCATATGTGCAAGAGCGTAATTATCCAAAACGAGCCTTTCAATTTTCAATCTACTAGAAGTAAAAATGTCTTAAAAGCCAATAATTTACGAAAAATGTAGATTTTCACCGAAATTAAGTGATTCGGTTGCTCATGGTGGAAATGGGTTTAAGACATACTCTATTTGACTCTATCATAAGCGCTGAGCCGAAGTATTTTGGAAGTCTGATTGCATTGCCATTCAATTATGCTCGGGGATAAACACACAACGATGTGCTTTCGAAGGTGAAGCGAAGGTTTCGTAGAATATTTGAAATCTAAATTGAATATTTAAACTTACATTTTCCCCACACTCTTTGGTCTCCATGAGAACACCGAGTTCTATTGTAAATCTGTGGATGTTTTACAGTTGCGAAGCTACGTGCTTGAGCTGTAGCGAAGAATGATCCTTACTCGTTAACTCGGTCACATTTAACCAGCTCGACCCGCACATTACGTCATTGATTGAGAGTGGGACTTTTTACTTTCGTCCCTAACTTCCGATTCTGGTACGAAAGTTAGGCAAAGTTTGAAGTTTGAACCAGTGAAGACATCTTTTTTTATGTAGAGCACTTTAAGTCCGATGTACACTGTATTTTTTGGGTTTATCACTCCTCAATTTATTTCTTTCGAATTGTGACAACAAGTGGCATTTCCCTCTAGTTGCGTGACACGTAAGTTTCTCTGGGGCTTGTAAGGCTTGGTTCGGAAGTCAAAGATTTTTGTTTCGTTTGATTTTGACAGGCGTGTATTGTTTCAGCTTAACAGGGAAGTTTGTTCCGCAATAATTACACCTCTTTCACTTGTGATTTTTCCTGTTTCACTGCTACCCAAAATAGCCAGCTGAGCTTTGAAATATAGTACATGTAACAATATTGTTTAGGTTTCTGAATCTTCGGTTTCGATCTTTTTGCTAATGCACGGTTCGTGTTTCTTCTTGGGTGTACCCACATCTTTGAAGACAATTATTTTAGGAGGGGCTAGCTAAATTCTTGTGGCCAAGAATAGCTAAGCTTCTAAATTTTAAATGCTAAGTAATTTTTCAGAGTTGGAAGAAATACGTGACGATGTTCTTATGACGTACAGCTGATAAATTTTAAAACTACAAACTTGCGAAAGTCATTTAAATATCTACACAATTCGAACGAAGCATTTAATTTTCGAAACAAGTTGAAATGGGATTTCATATGCTAACCGCCTGTTATTTAGGTATAGTTTGCTTTCAAAAATATTTCGATTTAAACATCTGTACACTTAATTGCGTCCACTTTATGAACATTTTTTTTATTTTTAGTTATATTATAATTAACACACTGTAGAAGTTTCCAGTATTTGCTTATGAACTTGATGTGACTTTCGTTCTTCGTTCGATAATGATCATGCTTTAAAATAAAAGCTGTTATCATCAAAATATAGCATATTTTATTTCATTTTAACTTATCTTCTCGAAGATATTAGTTCTACGGCTACACTGTGAGTTTCGAGCATAAATAAAGTATATGCATGTATGTATGTAGAATCACGTGGTGGGCGAATGAAAGCTAATATTTCCCTTGACATGTTGTTTTAGTTTCTAGACTCCACCGTCGAGGGACCATTTTTTTTTTTTTAAGAATCAACATTTGCCGTAGATTGAGAAGTCTAACTGAGCGAAAAGACGTTTCCTTCTAGTCATAGCTGGCGTTTGGACGTTTATTGGTTTTGCAGTAGTGCCAAGAACGCGTTTTATTCTTTGGGGGAAGGGTGGGGAGGAAAGTAGTGGAAGCCATTTTTTCACTCCAAAACTACGTATGCCCTTAACAGAAACGGCATGTTAGGAGCGGACTCGAACGTAGCACTTGAACTCGACAAGTAGCGCTGGAAACGGGCGTAAACCAGAAAATGTTTCTCATGCGAGCGATAATGTTTAATCTAAAACCACTTTGCATCTAGTGCGCTAACAAATACGCAGGCAACGTAGAACTTTATTGAATATCTTATGTTCTGTGTTGTGGTCTAAAGTCAACAATATAATGATATTAACTTCGGCAATCACGGTGCGGCTTTAATTACTAGACGTTTCATTTCTATAACTTTTTGATTGATACACTGATAAAGGCAATATCCTTTGCTGAAATTCCGCTTCAGGCTTTTATTTGAATTCTATCATCACCTTTGAGTTACAGGAAACTAACAGAAGCTCTTATTATTGTGTGAATAGTTCTCGCATCGTTCTGCAATGCACACTGAAATTAATATACGGCGCTCTCATTGATATGTAAATAGTTCTGAAAACACTTTCGTAAGCTAATTTTGGTCGAAAGACATTCACTGGGAACAAAAAAGTCACCAATTGGTCATTAATAACTTTAAAGGTAGAATTTCCGCTTTTATTGTTGTTTTTACATTTGTTCAACCTGGGGAATAGAGTACACAGTTGTTAATTGGGAATTTACCGAAACCAAAACAGTCACAATTGCACTCTGTCACAAGAAAAGGCTTCTTCGCGCAGATCCTTGTTGTCGCTCTGTTATAAAAGAATTTGCTCATGCTTTTAGCTGTGCGTATATCGAGTTATGGATGGGAAGTTTGGAGAGCACTCGAAAAGCTAGAGTTGCTCTCGGCTGCGCCTCGAGCTACTCTTACGTATTTTTCGTGCTCTTCAAACTTCCCGCGTGCATCCATAACTCGATATACGCACGCTAAGCATGAATAAATTCTTAAATTAGAGATGTGGGACGAACTGACTCTTTTTTGGAACGAACTGACTCTTTTGTTAAACAATCTGACTGTTGGGGCAAATTTTTCCCTTTATTTTCATTTCTCACTTGTCATCATGTACTTTTGTTTTTTTTTCTTCTTTTCGC